CTGGTCTGGCCAGGTCCTGTTAAATTTGTTAGATCTCTCTAAAATTATTTACCAGGAGAGAGAAAGGGGGTTGGTCATGGTCCGTCCCATCTCGTCTGTCAGTCAGTCACACACGCACCCAATTCAGAACAAGAACAACTAAACAATTCAAGACAAAGACACAACGGCAGAAAGAGTATTAAAACAAAAATAATAGAACACCAACAATATTGACAAAACAAACGTAAGTACAAACACCAAACATGTCGGAACAGAGACATATAACTCTCAAACCTTTTGCAACTTCCAACTTCTTCAACATACTTTAACCTGGAGATATTTTGTAAAACAAGCACACATAGGTTCATCTCATGCTCTAGGTTAATTTAAGAGTGGAATTGGACCACTCTCTCTCAGATTACTTTTCTTAAATCAAGTTATAGAACATGTCCCCTCTCCCCGCTTTTTTTAAACCTTAAATGGCTTAGCTTACCCCGCCTCTCTCAGCTAAGGGGCTGGGTAAAGAAGGGGGCGATGCATGTCTGAAAAACACTCAATAAGAGGAAGGGTAAAAGGTGCCTGAGTGCCATAATCTTTCACTGCTTGCTTAATATTTTTTTGTTTGTTTGTTTTAGATCTTTAAACTGCAGAGGTTTGCCTCATGTAGGAGTCTCAACGATAGGGCAGTGTATCACACCCCACTTGGGGAGATCTGAAGCCTCACTCTTACGGGGTTCTATTACAGGCTCCTCTTCTAGTAACGAGGCAGGGGCTGAAGGAGCTGCTGCTTCTGAAGCATAAGGTGGAGGTGACTGAGAGGCGTCGTGATTGACTGTTAGTCTGAGAGCGTGTAGTTTCTGGGGTGGATTGATTGAGGGGTTTGGCGTTTGGCTCTGCCTCAATATCTATAATGACAGAAGATGGTCAAGAACTGGGGGAAGGTGAGGGGATAGGGGTGGGCAGCCGAGAACGACTTTCCTTAAGAGATCATCCTCCCTCTGAAGCCAAAATCTGTAAATCTGGATGTTGAGACTTAATCTTTAAGATATCATAAATCAAAGTCCAATAATTAAAGGCAGTAACAGGAATTTTCTCAGGCCCCAAAACCTCATAATAATCTTTAAAACAATCACTTACTCTACACCAAGTTTTCTCATGCATAGAACATTCCTGGGGATACTAGGGACAAATCTGACCAACAAAATCCAAAAAGGTTTTGAGGTCTTTCTTTTTCACGTAATTCCTTGTGTCTTGAATGAATCTATAAGACCTTGCAAGAACAGTTCTTGCTTTGATAATTCATGTCCCATCTTACTTTGACTCTATAAGATTTTTGCTGCCATCTCCAGGAGCACGAATTCCACTGGGTCACCATGAAACTGCTCACCCGGTGTTCAGTTCAACACCACGAGAGGCCTCTCCAAAATGATGGCGTGGTGTTCTCTCTGTTGGTGGTCTACATGCCTCCACGTTGGGTGCCAACTGTCCCGTCCAGCAGGACAGTCAACGGGGTAGCAACCAACCTAGGAGAGAATGAAGGGACAAGAGACACATGGAATGCATAGCAAGACAGGATGTCTGATCAAGCTGTCAGTTTATTGATTTCAACTGAGGGTTTTTATATTCTGCAGTAACTAAGGCTCAGGGAGGAAAGGAGAAACTGGGACACAAGCCATGGTCTCAAGACCGATTGTTCTTGAGCAGCCACCATATCAACAATAGTAACTACCGTATCAACAATAGTGTAGGTAACCAGTAACAGGATGTCGGCAGGTACAGCATAAATCACATTCTGAAACAATTGCTAGCAATAATTGAAACTAGGCATGCGATCAGTTTCATAACCTCTTTCCCAAGCATCTAGCCAACCGGGGGTTTTCCACTGGCCTGTGGTTCTATGTTCAAAATGGCTTCAGTGTGGCTATAGTACATGGCTCCTGACAGTCAGGAAAAATCAAGGCATATTATTTCTCATTGGAACACTTTATTAAAAAGATTTTATTTTATATTTGAAAGGCAAAGTACACAGAGAAAGGGAGAGACAAAGATCTTTAATCCAGTGATTCACTCCTCAAATGGGTTCTGTCAGGCTGAAGCCAGCAGTCCGTTCCTCCATTCAGACCTCCTGCTTGGGCAGCAGGATCTCAAGTGCCCGCACCATCTTCTGCCGCTTTTTCAAATACATTACCAGGGAGTAAGTCTGGAAGTTGAACAGTAAGGACTGAAATCGGCACTCAGATATGCAATACCATTGTTGCAAGCAGTAGTTTAAATGGCTCCTTCAAAACACTGACCCCACTTTTAAAGTCCTGATGGAACAATTAAGCAGAACTTTTTATCCAATGAAATAACTTTTAAATACAACAATAAAATTAAGCCTTTCCAGGGGGGTGGGGATACGGAAGCTCAAAGAAATTGTCACCGTAAGAGCTTTCCTTCCAGGAGTATTAAAGGAGCCCTTCAGATGAAATGTTAGAAACAGAAAGAGCAGGCGGAACAGTAACTCCATGGAGCAGCAGATGCAAGATTCTCTTGTTATTTAAATCACAGCAAAAGAAATTGATGGCTTAACCAGAAATAGCCAAGTATTGTGGAGTTTATGACAAAACTACAAATGGGATTTATGACAACGGCCCGCATCCTGGAAGGGAGAAATGCAAGTGTGTGCGTACTGTTTTAAGGTTTCAATTAATCATGGATGTTGAATAGCATGATATCACTCGAAGGCAAGTTGTGATAAGTTAAAAATGGATGTTGTCCATTTCGAAGCAACCACTAAAATGACAAAACCACTAAAACAGCAAAAAGAGCTATTGCTCATAAACCAATAAAGGAAATAAAAGAAATAAAAATATTCACTTAATTAGCATTAGGGAAATTTAAGTGAAGAATATACAAGAACCATCTGGACTGTCTTGGCAGTTCTCTGTAAATCTAAAAGCTTCTATCTCACTCATCATGCCCGTGGTTCTTGCCTTCCTGTGACACTGAACTGTGTGCCTTGGCTCAGGAAGAGCCAAGGAAGAGAAGCCCAGGAAGAGAAGCACTTGTGGTTCCCTTGGACCAACCTCTGCTGGGCACTGGGCACCAGTGCATGGGCAGGCTGTGACTGTTGGAACTGCATGCTGGGTGCAGTGGGGAGTTGGGAGGGCAGTTGGGAGACCTGGGAGGGACTGGGCCAGCAAGGGCAGGGCAAGGTGAGCACACTCTCCAAGGGTAGCTCTTGCAAGGAATGTGGGTTTGAGGATTCTGGGGGTTCCCCCAGGCATTGGGGATCAGAGACGATGCTTTAGGGTAGTGGGAACATGGGCAGCAAGAAGACCAACCTTGGCTCCAACAGGCTGTCTTTTAACTGTTATTTCTATAACTGTTGTTCCTTTTTTTAATATACATCAGCAAGGCCCTCCCTCAGTGGAACACTTGGAAAAAATCAGGAACCACAGTCTCTTGGTCAGCTTTAGGAAACACTAGGAATTCCCCCTACATCTGTTAAATTCTTCTGCTCTTAGAACTGTGATTATAAATCTATGTGTATGGGGCTGTAAGGGAATGGGAAAGCTATGTGTTATAAAACAAAAAACCCTGTAGGTGGCATCCAAATGTTCTTGCCCCCAGATGAGCTTATCCTTTTTGTTCCACTCTCTGTGAAGTCTGCTGGTGTTTCATCTGGCGGAGGGATGAGTCTAGGTGGCTTCACTGTCCTTCTGCATGCAGGAGGCACCCTTGGAAGATGGGTGAGCAAAGCAGAACAGCCGAGGTCATCAGTGGGACACTCCAGGGCTGGGGAGAGCCTTAGGGTCCACAGGTCTGGGCTCTGTGTCCTGTGCCCTGAGAGGCCACCTTGTTGCTCTTAGGAGTCCTGGTTAATGAGAGACCCAGAGCAGTCTTGTCACAAAGCCGACATGCTTCCCCCTGCACCTGAACTTCTTAGCCAGTCCGTAGTGCGACTGGGAGTCAGTCCCCACATGAGTTTCTGCAGGGTCCTGTCTGGACATTCTTAGCTTGGCTTTCCCAACCTCTTTCTGCTGGCTCTGTGATTGCCCAGCCCCTCTCTTGGAGCCTTTCCTGATGGTTCCACTTAGCGGTGATTAATGTCTTTCTGGCCAGTGAATCATTCTCTCAGTGACTCACAGTAATTAGCAGTGGCCGCATTCAACTGATCCTTCAAACGGACTCCCCAAGTCACTTTGTCCTCTGCAGTCCTGGAGACTATAAGGCCACCCAGGCCTGGATTTCTGTGCCCTGGATTCTGCTGTAGGGTGACCCTCCCAGTCTCAGAACTTGTCTTCCCGCATGGTCTGTGCACAGAGGTTGTGGTGTGTGCCTCGTTGTCTTATAGTGTCTGCAGCCACAGTGGAGAAGTATGGAGTACTGTTAGTTTCCTGTTGCACAAATGTGTCATCCATCGGCACTGCGAGTTAGGAATCCAGCACAAATCTCATCAGGAAGCTCCATGGAGGGTTTGGTACTGGCTTTCCCAGTGTCAGTCTTATTTACTTCCTCTTCTTCAGAGCCAGCTGATCTGATGTCTGCCTTTCCTCCACAGACATCCCCAGCTTCAGCCTGTCCCATCTCCTGCTTGCTTTCTCTGCCTCTCTTAGAATTGCTGAACTTGACAGTGAGTGCTGTGCACTTGGCTGACTTCCAGTTCCCGTCCTAAAGTGTATTAGCTCTGTCTCCTGTCTTCGGCTGTCAGAGAGGTGCCATTAGGAACACACATTAAACTGGGCCCTTTTAAGGGGTCATTTGTGAATTTGGCCATGGTTCAGAGACAAACAAGCTCCAGCCTTCCACGTCGAGACACCAGGGCTGAGGAGCATCCATCAGAAATTCAGACCCCATAGTCACAGGGCAGCAGAAGGGAGGCTTGGACCCTGTAGGTTGGGTCACACACCCTGCACTCTTGTGTGGGCTGTGGAGGCTTACAGCCCATGGCCCTGTTAGGAATCTAACCAAGATTTCAGCTGATGAATATGGGAAATCTAACATGTAACTAATTCCTGTTTTTCTTTTCCATTCAGGACCTCAAAACAGAATGTGGATACTGATATGAGACACAGCCTGGAAGATGATGTCACCTTGGCCAAGACACTGCAGCGCTACCTGCCATACTTGGGGGCTCTGTCCCAGGCCACAGCCTCAAACGTGTACCCCAGGAAGAAGCAGGACAAAGCCACAACCGAGGTGAGGCTTGAAGCTCACTTTTTGTGACCCAGAGGTTGTCTGCTACCTGCTTGTACAGGTTCTCCAGGGTGCAAGTCTTAGAAGTGTTTCCTAGATCTTTGGACTTGATTCTTGTATCCCAGGCCAGTGGGCTGCAGGGTGAAAAAGCAGGGGTTGCCTGAACAGAAAGATTCCTGGAGCCTTTTAGAGTTCACATACTCCTAAGGCCAAAAGAGCTGCCACTACACGTGTTAGTCTACCTATTGCAGATACAGCCTTAGCCACTCTTAGGGGTGAGTGTCTTTAGCAGCTCATCTTTGAGACCAAGTGTTGCATTCCCCCATGAAAACAGACATAATCTCAGTGGGATATGTGGGCAGGGAGCAGAACCTGCCTTCCAGCCTTTAGGAGAAGGACCTGGAATAGCAATGGACATGTGACACTGTTGTGAGCAGGACAGGAAGGACTCTGAACTTGGCTGGAGTTGGGTGCACATGGAGTGTCCCAGCTGTTCTGTTTTGGGCACTGCACAATCTGCATTCTAGGAGGTCCCTCATTGCTAGCAAAGCCTACCCTAGACACTATTCTGGGGCAGCAGAGGGGCTCCACCTGTCCATGTGGGCATGGGGGTGGATTTTGGGTGTCCCAGATACCTGCCCAGGCAACCAAGGGCAAGCAGGCTTGTCTGACAGGGTTCTCAGGTGGACGTTTATTTTATCAGAATCTGCATTGCATCGATTCAAGATGTGAAGCCCATTCTCAGGGACATTTTAGAGGAGAAGACACAGAAATTTTAAGCACTGGTTAGACTGGAAAAGATTGCATGGTTGTTATGAGTATTTTTAAAGCTGTAATTGCCAGACATCAAGTGCCATGGATAAGAGAAAGGGAATAGAGCTAAAAGAATGATACATGGGGCCTAAAGACTGTTATTTCCTGAGGATAGACTTTTGGGCAACATGTCCAAGGCTGAGATGATGGTATGTTGGTAGTTTGACAGCAATGTCCAACACAGGGGTCAAACGTTAGTGACATCAACTCCAAATTGATGTTTTTTCTCCAAGACCGAAACTGTTGGTATGACACTAAGGGGAGTCTGGGTACTTTTCATCCCTCTTAAATGCCACCAAGATTTCATTTAAATAGGGTTCAATAATTGTGGCCCTAGGGAGTTTGGAGTAAATAATCTGGACACAAATTTTGAAGTTCCAGCTCTAATTGCTTGCGTGTTCTAAGTGAACTCCAGTCTGGTTCCCATCTGAGGACACAATGCCGACCAGGCCTTATGGAGCTGAATTGGGATCTTAGGGGACCTGTGCTGCTGGTATCAGAGCCAGAGGTGCATATTTCCACAGAAGAGGGTTAAGATGAGGAAACTGGTTTATTTCTGTGTCTGAGGAGCCAAAGCTAGAGACGTGTGAGCAGCTAATCGACTGTTCCTTAGAGTAACCTATGAAAGACTCTTCCCCACTGCCCTCCACCACCCAGCCTTGCATTTATTTGACCAGGGGTTATTTCACAATGAGGTATATCTGCTGTGACTACAGAACAGAGGCCTGACGCTGGCACATGTGGGTGCCACAGAGGCCCGGACTCACTGGCTCCATTGGAGAAGCACTGTGGGAGGCTCTACAGTACCTGTCCAGCCCCGACTACACTTGCATCCCCCCACAGAGGGGTGGGTGCCCAAGCCCCCAGATTGTGAGGATGTGTTTCACAGAGCCCCTCCCTACTGGGAGAGATAGGAATCTTTACTCCCGACACCTGTGCGGGTGGTAATGTTCTGGAACCATCTGTGGGCTAGAACAAGCTAATGCTGAGGTGATACCAACACTGCTCTGTGCTCCAGCCCATCTCCAGCCCATCGGGCCAGACTGACAAACGTGTTCCCAACCTTTCACACAAGCCTGACATTCCTCTCTGTGGGAGACAGGCCCTACCGAACCAGATCCACTTGATACTTTTTAAAAAGGTGAACTTGAATTTGCACTCATTCATGGGTGATGACTCAGCACCAGGGTCTCGTTATTGTGAGGCCAATGATAGACTCCCATGGATCGTTACTTTGGAGGACTGGTATGGGGAGCTGTCTGATTCTGGAGCCAGCTCAAGAACAGCCCCTTCAGAGAGTGCCATGTGGCCTAGGGGAATGGCAGAAAAATCAGAGTGATTGTAGTCATGAGACATTGTGGACCTAGCTAACTATAGAAACACAGTCCTGGAGGCATAACCCCAATCACCAACAGGGCCTTGACTGAAGCAGCAACTGCAAAGGCGATTTGGTGTAATTCCTAGAAATCTCAGTTATTGATTCGGAACCTTGCTTCATGTTTCTGCCTAGTTTTAATTATTTTTTTTAAAAAAATAAATCTTCATACTAAAAGGCAAGAGGTGAATTCAGATAGAATTGGCTCACTGGACAAAGCATAACTTAAAGTTCACCTGTACAGGTGTGAGAGTATTACGAAAGATCTCCACGTTGTGTGTGCCATTATCTTTGCTTTTAGCAACCCCATGTATGGAGTGTTTGAAATCAACTGGGACAAATTGCAGGGACTTGTGGAAAGTGCAACTCTTTGGTGGGATATTGAGCAGTTCATGCTATGAGCATTGGGAGGGATTGTGGGGAACACCAGGTGAAATTGCTAATAGAAGTTCCTGTGGGGAGAGCAAGCCTGTAAGTGGGAGAAGTGCAGCTTCTTAGAGCTGCTCCCAGGGTCTGCCACATCTCTAGGTGGCTGCATAATTCTACTAAATCCATAGCAGCTAGGTGCCTGCTGGGCCAGAGGTCGGGGTGCGTGCAGCCTCATTACAGGGGTCCATAGTTGACGATGGCGTACCCATTGCTGACTTAGATATTCTGTGATTCCAGCACCAGGGATATCACCATGGGTGTCAGCATGACTCTCCAAAGCAAGCTTCCACACACAGGAAGAGGGTACTGAAGATGTCCCTGTGCTGGAATGCTGGCTCTGCAGGAGCCTGTAGTAGGGTTGAGGGCTTGTGCTGTGTGTCTGCTAGCTTTGATGTTTCCCTGGGGTCTTACACATCGCAAGGAGGGCTGCAGTGCCGGCCCGTGTCCCTGCCTACTTCCACATCAAGAAACAAAAAGGGGGCTGGAGGGGCTGACACTGGTTATAGCAAACATTGCGTCAGCGTTCCTTCCCTATCTGCTATTTGGCTTGCCTTCTGTGATACTTACAACTTGCAGCCAAGACAGTGAGCACTCTTTATGGTGTGCCACAACAGTTCTGGTCGATGCTGGTTTCTCAGCACTATGAGGACGAATCCATTCAGTCCTTCTCAACATGTGCTAGTTTTCATGAGTGAATTCTGTGGCCATCCTACCACACAACCAATTTTAAGTGATGGTCTCAGAGTTACTCAAAGAAGGAGCACTTGGGGACAGTTTGAGCTTAGATATATATATGTATTTTTTCTTTTATGTTGAGATGGATGCTTCCCTATGTTAAAAGCACTGCATGAAATCTCAGAACTTATCATTGTCTCCGTCCAGTGTTTAAATGAGGAGAAAGCTCTTAGTCATCTCTCTAATGAGCCAAGATTGACCAAAGTGCAAGGAGTACATAATCAGATGTTACAAAGTTATTTTGATGACTTGGTTATCTGATGTTTATGTATAATTATAGCAAACTTGGCAATTGGGCAACATTGTCTGATCCAATCCTCTCCCCTCTTAGGTGATGTAATATTTCATTTAGGAATCTAAGCTTTATACACTGATGATCTTCCAAGTTGCAATCAGTTTCTGGTGAATTATTTTATAAATTATATTTGCTTATGTATATAACATGAAATCTAATTGTAGCATAAAGAAATATTTTGAATTTATTATCTTTCCAGGCTTTTGTGCTGATTATTTCATAACAGAAACTGTAGGAAATAAAATCACACCACTCTTCTTAAAATAAAGCAACGCAGAACTCTGACACACTAATTGAGCTCTTATTGATCACTAGATCAAAGTGTTGTTATTACTTCTGTGTTGTTATTGGTGATTTCCAACCTCTCATCATTGACTACAGCAGCTGGTTCACCGTCCTATTCGTCATCATCTGGAACATTATAAATTTCCCATTTATAATACGTTATGAATGAGGGCTAGGGTGAAATCAGTTACTTCACACTAATAATTAATTAACTAATTTATTTAGGAAACGTTTTGAAGGTTTAACGTACAAGCCACATTGGGTGTTGGTATTAGGTCAATAAAACTTAGATTCTCCCCTCTAGGGTTTGACAGTACTACGGGATAAGAAAAGACAAACAACAAGCAAAGAAGAAATGTAGCTGAAAAACAGATAAAAAATAACTAAGGTTCTTTAAGGGAGGGGACACGAAAAGTGAGAGGAACTGTAATACCACATGGGCTAAGTAGGGTCTAGCGGGGCTTCTCAGAGGGTGGGCATTGGAAAAAACAACTAGGAGGCACTTGCTGCTGGTGTTAGAATGGATGGAGCTGAGGTGTCTGAGGACCACTCCTCCCTGACCTCCACAGTGGCAGCCCATAATCCCAGCTGGTCAGGAACCTACCAGAGAGCTGGGGGTATAAAGAGGCTTGAGAGAACTCGATTCCAGAACGAACTCCTCTGGGGAAGAGACACCACTGTTTCTTTCACATGACTGGAACAAGAGTTAGGAAAGCCCATCCATCCAGCGGAGGAGAAGAATTTGGGCTTCGTTTGAGGGAACTGCTCTTAGTGACTGGAGACTGATTTGAGACAGGTTAAGCTGCAGTGTGACTGGACTCCCTGGCCCTTTCCTAAGGGACCATACAGTGAAGGAATGGAGAAGGAACCTGTGGAGGGTGTGTCACAAGGCAGCAGGTGGTGACAGGCTCATGGAAGGGATGCCAGACACATGGTGGATCTGATGAGGAAGGAGACGTCTTCAGCCACTTGCAAGCAGGCACTCAACCTGCGGAGAGATCTCTCACGGTCCAGAAAGCAGAAGGCTGCTGCAATGCAGAGACAAATTGGCGGAGTCATGCTAGAAGCTGG